GGAACCAGGCTGCTGCTCTCAGCCCGCTCTGCCCGCCAGCCCGGGCAGCGCTTCCAACAGCAGCTCTCCGAGCGCTTCCTTCCCTCTCGCAGGGACTCTGCCAGGCGGTGCCTGCTCCCTCGCTGAGCAGCACCGAGGAACTGTGGGACCCAGAGCCCTCCATCCTCCGCTGCCAGCGGGGCCAAACCCTCTCCTGGCGCTCAGCGTCCCAGCCAGAGCCGGCCGTGAGCCGACGGCAGCGGAGGGGGAAAGAAGGAGCTGCTGTGGATGCAATGTGGTGATGCCCCTCTTAGGCTCTCGAACCCCGTGGGGCTCGGAGGCGAAGGAGTGAGGACACGAGCTGTGCCATTACCTTGCTGATGTCCCAGAGGACCAGCCTGCTCTGGCGCTTGGCGAACTCGAGGGCGGTCGCTCTGCCGACGCCATGGCCAGCACCCGTGATGAGCACAAGCTCTCCGCTGACAGACTTCCTCCTCACGGGGACAAACAGCTTCACGAAAGCCTCCAGGTAGGAGTAGGCGAGCGTGACCAGGAACAGGAGAAGCTCCAGGAGCAGGTTCATGTTCCTCCAGAGGCTCCTTCGCTGCCCGAACTGCGCCGGGAACCGCCGCCCTCCCCTCGACCCACGGCCCGTGAGGCCACGCCCCCCGCGTCCCAAAGTCCAATCAGAGCGCGGCTCAGCACCGGAGGCGTGTCCGTGGGCGGGGCCAAGCCGCGGGCCGGGGGTGGCGGGGTTTTGAGCGTGTCCGGAGCCCACCAAGGCTCCCTGTCGTTCCCCTCTCCTGGCCGGGCAGGGGAGAGAGAATAACAAGGAAAGCGACTCGTCGTAGGTTTAGACAAAGCAGCAACATCGAAATTTTACTGGACCAAAATCGAAAGTTTGCGCGCGCAAAAGCAAAGAGGGAAAAAATAAACGCATTATTCTCTATTTCCCATGATCAAGCGGTGTCCGCCCGCATCCCGGGAAGCAGGGCTTCGGTACACGTAGGTGTCGTTCCGGAAGGCAGACTTTGTAAATAACAAATGCCCTCCCCTTCCTCCTCGTCCTCCTTCTTTCGTAGCATTTTTTCTGAGCTGACGTCAGGCGGCCCGGAGCATCCCTTTGGTTAGTCTGGGTCAGCTGGCCTCGCGGTGTCCCCTCCCACAACCTTCCCCTCCCGGAATCTTCCCCACCCCACGCGCTTGCTGATGGCGGGTAGAATGTTGGAGAGACAGCGCTGGCGCCGTGGGAGCGCTGCCCCGCAGTAGCCAAAACACTGGTGTGTTCCCGGCCCCCTTTCTAGGTACCAATGCCCAGCCCAGCACCGCGGGGCCGCCGTGGGGAATGAGCTCCATCCCAGACAGTCCCGGTGCGGGGCGTTCGTCACTGGCGCCGCTCCGCCCAATGCGGGGCAAGCTTATACCGGGGCCGGCGGGCGGCTCCTTCCCGGCCCGGGCGTAGGAGCCGCTGGGAAGGAGCGGTGTCCCAGAGCGGTGTCCCAGAGCGGTGTCCCGGAGCGGCTGCCTCGCACCACCGGTGCCAACGCTCCCATCCCGGGTCCGGCCCAGAGCCGCACTCCCGGCCGCGGGGCCGAGGCTGAGGCCGGGCCCGCTCCCGCCGCGGTGGGGCCGCGGCGGCGCCGCCGATGCTGCTGCCGGCCGGGTGCCTGCGGCGGGTCGTGGCCGTGCTCTCGTTGTCCGTGGTGCTGTCGGCCCGGAGCGCTGCCCAGCGCCGCCCGGCGCGCAGGTACCGCGGGCTGTGCGCGGGGGAGCCGGGACGTGGCCGCTGCCGCTGCCGGAGGTCGGTTCCCTGTTCTGCGGGGGAAGCAGCAGCCTCATGGCCGGGCCGAGATCCCGGGGCTACCTCCCATCCCGGGGCTACCTCCCATCCCCTAGCAGCGCAGGGGGAGCTCGGCGCGGGGTGTGCGGTGTCGCTGAAGGGTGTCCCTTTTGGGCACGGGCAGAAACGCAAACCTGGCCTTGTCCTTTGAAGTGATGTAATTACCGAAAAACTATACAAAAGCAATGTTCCCCTTTCCCGTATCTCTGTTAAAGGTTTGTGGTTTTTTTGAACTTCGGGTGTCTTGCGAGTTGGATGTTAGGAGGAGTTTTTTCACAGAAAGGGTGGTCAGGCGTTGGAATGGGCTGCCCAGGGAGGTGGTGGAGTCACCGTCCCTGGAGGTGTTTAGGGAAAGACTGGACGTGGCACATGGCCTAGTTGACGTGGTCGTGGTTCGGTCACAGGTTGGACTCTGTCTCAGAGGTCTTTTCCCAACCAGTTGATTTTGTGAATTGTGCTTTTGAGAACGTGAGCTCAGCAGTGAACGTGACACTTGCTGTACTAGTGACCAGTGAACTCTCAATTTCAGTGAGAAGCAGAACCTCCTTTCCCAGATGCACCTGAAGATTTCACAGCATCTGAGATGTTTGGAAGTGGAACTGCTGTTTTTGAAAAAGCATGGCCTGTTCTGCTAGTTTTAATCTAATATTCACGTCTGGGTTCAAATACCAGGGTAAATAATGTATGTGTAGGGTTTTTTTCTTTTTTTCCCTGAAACTCTTTAGTCCTGTCATCACCTTGCTTAGATGTTAGGTTGTTAAAATCTGAATACTCTTTTGCAGAGGAGATATATTTCCTTGTATAGAGGAAGCGATTCTTTATTAATAAACCCCCCACAACTTTTCACGAAGAATTTATGAATATCTTGTTTCTAGGGTACTTTTTTGGGTAATAACCCTTTGCTGAGCTTTAAGCATCTTGTCTAAAGTAATCTTCTTTATTTTTGTGACAAGTAAAAAAATAATTGAGTTCAGGAAGGCCACATTTTATGTTGAAGGAAGTCTGTGTAGAATTTTTAAGAGCTGATGAACAGGCACCGTAACACAATCTGTCATCTTTTACTGTTGGTTGGTCTTTCAGCTTCTGAAAACCCATGGCAAAATAAAATAACTAAAGGCCTCAAGTATTTTTTTTTTTTCTTTTAACCTTATTTGATAGTTCGAGCCTTCTTTTAAACTGAAAAGCAAAGTGTTATTCCATACCTGTATTGCACAAAATGGTATTTTGGTGTCAATGCAACCTGTAGAGCTGCATTGCTCAGGCTCTTAGATATTTAATTCTTGGTCTTACATGGTCTACCACTGGATGCAAGAGCAGGACTCTTGCAAGGCTGTGTTGTTTTATTGATGAATAGAGATTTAATAGAGATTTAAATAGATTTTTAATGCTTAGGCAGACTTCTTGCTGCATTTATGGTATATATCCTTGAGGTGTTCCTTGTATATGATTGCTAACTAGTCACTGTTCCACACAGCCTGGAATAGCAATTCTAGTTTTCAGCTTCTCCTCATGCTATGAAGTCTTCATGTGTATTTAGGAGAGTATCTTCTGCTTCAAGTAGCTGATAATAAAACTCAGACTTGTTGGTCCTGCATACATTTGGAATGGTACATCGCTGAAAGAAGCAGTGATATATTACTGAGAACTGTCTTTTGGGAAAAGCTGGATCTATTCCACTTGCTATCGTGTACCCTGCAGATCTGGTATTAGATAACAGGTTAAAGCCTAATGAATGAGATGCTATATTTCTTTAATTTTTATTATTTTTCAGTAACTCATCTGCAAACTGTTGGTCCCATCTTCATCCTGTGAATATGTTCAACAGTTACAATGTTAAGTTCTACCACAGCAAAGCTCTCACCTCCCCATATCCAAGATCACACGTTGAGCGCAGCCACGTTCCTGAAGATAAAGTGGACTGGCTGACAGAATGGAAAGATTATAATCCTGTGGAGTACACTGCAAAGTCTGTTTTGGCTGGACCCAGTTGGGCAGATCCCCAAATCAAGTGAGTGAAAGCGGTGGTTCTTTTCTTCTATGAACATGGAAGCAGGAAATAGTGATGACCTGAGTTAACAAGATCATCAGGTTAAGTGATGTGTGATTCTGCAGTGATGTGTAGAAGTCCAGTCTAAGAAAAGTGGTGGTTAGAGAACTGAATTGTTTGGGTTAGCTGTGAAGGTCTTTGACACGTGATTTTACTGAGCTGTTGATGCTGTGCAGTGTTTCTCTATGTTGTAAGCTAAATAAAAATCTCCTAATTCTCCTTAAGAATTTTGTGACAGTATTTTCTTAATATACTTATTTGTTAATGGACTGAATGCAACATGAGAAAAGAAAGTAGAATTGTACTTCTTGAGTGCTCCAGCTCGGGCGATGTGACAGGTTGAATGCATGACTGTTACTGTTGTGGGTTTTTTGATTATGTGTGTTCATTTTTACTGATTTTGCAGGTATTTTCCTCTCCAGAAATGCTGTATGCTTCTTGACTAGAAAGTTAGATGCATGCATCTGGTGTAACTTGTGATAAATGTGAAAAGGTGATTCCTATGTATGCACATCTGTGTAGGCTCTTGAGGTTTCAGCCTTACCTTCCTTGTTCCCCATTGCTATGTGAGCATGTGCCTCTGTTTACTCTTAGTGGGGTTTAATGTTCTGTTGATTACAAGGCAATCCTCAAACTCCATAAGTGTGCCGATGTTCTGCCAAGGCAGGTTGTGAAAGTGTCAGGTAATCTTTTAGTAGGCGTTAGTAATACTTCAAAAATTTTAAAGTCAGGACTGGGGCCAGTTCTGTTTAATATCTTTACTGATGATCTGGACGAGGGGATTAAGTGCTCCCTCAGTCACTCTGTGGGTGACACCAAGTTGTGCCAGACTGTTGATCTGTTGGAGGGTAGGAAGGCTCTGCAGAGGGACCTGGACAGGCTGGGTCAATGAGCCAAGGCCAGCTGGATGAGGTTCAGTAAGGTGAAGTGCTGGGTCCTGCACTTGGATCACAACAACGTCATGTAGCACTACAGGCTGGGGAAGAGTTGGAAAGCTGTCCAGTGGGAAACGAGCTGGGGGTGCTGGTTGACAGCAGCTGAACATGAGCCAGCAGTGTGCCCAGGTGGCCAATAAGGCCAATGGCATCCTGGCCTGGATCAGGAATAGTGTGGCCAGCTTGGTGAGGGGACAATCACCAATTGGCACTGGTGAGGCTGCATCCCAAATCTTCTGTTCAGTTTGGGCCCCTCACTACAAGAAAGACCTTGAGGTGCTGGGTGTGTCCAGAGAAGGGCAATGGGGAAGGTTCTGGAGCACAGGTCTGGTGAGGAACAGCTGAGAGAGCCTGGAGAAAAGGAGGCTCAGGGGGAACCTTATCACTCTCTACAACTACCTGAAAGGAGATTGTAACAACAAGGGTGTTGGTCTCTTCTCCCAAATAACAAGGGATAAGACAGGAGGAAATAGCCTCACGTTGTGCCAGGGGGCGTTTAGTTTGGGCATTAGGAAAAATTTCTTCACCAGAAGGTTTGTCAAGCAGTGAAATGCCCAGGGAAGTGGTTGAGTTACCGTCCCTGTAGGTATTTAAAAGACATGTAGATGTTGCACTTAGGGACATGATCTAGTGGTGGGCTTGGCAATGCTGGTTGGACTGAATAATCTTCAAGGTCTTTCCTAACTGAAACAATTCTGTCATGCTATGACTAATTTAACAAGAACACCTCTGAAACATTTTGTCTAAATGAAAATTTAGGGAGATACGGCTTTAAATACTTTACCTCTGCAGTTTTCCAGCAGAACTAAATACGGGGAGACTGTCATGAGTAAAGGTTGAGACTTTATAAAAAGAAAATAAAAAGCCTGCAACTTAAGTTCTGGTAAAAACTGCTGACTGGTCCAGTGGGTGTTGCCAGTCTGATGGTTTTAGGGGGCAGAGGAGTGTTTTGTGTTTTATAACTTATATCTATTAAATCATTATTTTCCACACAGTGATAACGGTTTTTCTCCCAAATTCAATGAGAGGGATGGAGAAGTGGAGAGGAAGAGTCTGAATGGCTTGTATGTGGTTGAAAATGGGAGACCCCGGTGAGTGTGGGGTTTTTTGTTTGCATTTTTATCTCAGTGATGTAGTTTCAGTCCTCTGGCAGGTCTGTCAGTCTTGGTACATGGTACCTTCTAGAACAAAGCCAAGGTAGTCTTCCCTAGAGACAGGAAAGCTGATACCTTGGGGCCAGAGTTCTTCTGGAAGAAGGTTGTGGCAGAGAGGCGTGAAATGGTCAGCCAGAACTACTGCCACAACATGGGGTGGTGGTGGCACTGGAGTCAGGGAAGGTCTAATACTGTCAGTGTAGGGTCTGTTGGGTTAATTGTTTCCACAGTTTGACCAGATGTGGGGCTCTGAAGCTTTCATTCCACCTGTGTGCTAAGGTGGAGGGGTAGAGTATTTCCTTCCACTGACAAATCCTGGCATAGCACAGATGGGTAATCTCACCTAAAAATAGTTTTTCTTCTTTCTGCCTTTTGTACATACTTGAATGCTCTGTGCATCCATAGTCTTGGAAACTAGATTCGGTTTTCAGACAAGGTTGTGCTGTGCATAATGAGAGTGATGCTTGATCAGGAGCATCTCGGGACACAAGATCTGAAAAATGACAAAGCTGTTCTGTCTTTTTCTTTTGCCTGTGCTACTAAACACAAAAAGAGGTTGATGAAGGAGAAAACCATGCTGTGTCTCTTGCCTTTTAAAGCACAGGAGGATACTGAATGCATGTTGCTATCCTTTCCTTTTTTTGTTATTTAATCTTCCATAAAACTGTATTTTTTTTTTTTTTTTTTTTAGAATACTTGGAGCATCTTTTGAATGCAGGGAAATAAATATGTTTAGTGTACTGTTGTGTCAAGGGTATAGAGACGTAGCAGTAAATAAACCCCCTTGCATTCCAGCTGGCCCTCAGAGATCAGAGGGACAATAGCATAGTCCTAACACAGAGACCAGGGTGTGACTGGGCTTAATTTCTGATTAGAACCAGTTTAGGGCTCTAAGTTGTGTACTGTGGCATTTATTTCAGAAATCCAGTGGGAAGGACTGGTCTCACAGGCAGAGGATTGTTAGGGCGCTGGGGACCAAACCACGCTGCTGATCCCGTCGTAACTAGGTAAGGGGCAGGTGACTGCAAGGTGCCCTGCAGTACAGAAAAAGTGCATTTTGTTTCTTCTGTGCATCTCTGGACAGGCTGTTACTTTTCATGGTCCTTTTTTGTGTGTGTTCTCTATGTGTAAGCCCATTCAGACATGAGTATCTGAGTGGAGAGATACACAGACATGAGGAATACATGGCAAAGAGTAAGGACTCGCTGCTAATTACAAGCAATTGCTTCCAAAATGTTGAGAAAGCACATTAAAAAAAAAAAGCAAATAACCTAGGAAGCATAATTCAATAGAGATACATTACATAAAGAATCTTCAGTAACAAGTGTAAGAACTGAAAGGATTATGTGATGCTTTGATACTGTACTGCCAAAGGGCCTTGGATGAGGCATGTGAAATTAAATTGCAAGAATAGATTTTTCTGTCATAATGACTCAGCTAAAAAAAAAAAAAAATAAAAAGCTAATTGCCTGCTTTTGTTATGTAAGAAACAGTAACTTGACTTAGTATACTATAGGAGGAGGTGGGGTGGGGTTACAACCCTTTTTTGGTCAGTGTATGCTTTGTTTTAATGTACTTTTGCCATCAGGATCTCTGTGTACATGCTAGCTATTTTACACAAAGCATTCAGAAAACACTGTGTAGTTAACAAAAGTGCAAGTTAGGAAGTGCCATGGTGAAGGTATAACTACTGTGAAAAATCATCCTGGTGCATTTTTCAGAAGGGTGCCGATGCCACTGAGTTGCTTTCTTGAAAGTGAAGGACATGCTGCTTTTGTTTTAGTTTTTGTTTAGACAGCTTTTTGCTTTAACTCTTGGTAGTTCTTAATCCTTTACTGAAGGCAGTGGTGGGTGTTTGTGCCCTTGTCATTTGCTACAGGTGGAAAAGGGATGGAAGTGGCAATAAAGTTGCTCATCCAGTTACTGGCAAAAACATCTTGCAGTTCGTGGCTATCAAGAGGAGAGACTGTGGGGAGTGGGCCATTCCAGGGGTAAGGGCAGAGCTCCAGAGACATCTCCCCCCCGCTGGTGAGACCATGAGGCAATAACTGGCATGCGTGTGATAGAAGAGTGCTTTTTGATGAATGATCTGGTGTTGTAGCACTAGGGAGAAATGCTCCTTGAACCAGCTGGCATGCCTTCTGCTGTTTCTGCATTGCAAAGTGGTATTCCTGTTTAAATCTGCCCATGTCTTGCTTAATGCAGGCACAGTTGATTCCACTGCAGGTTTTGAAGGGGGTGTGTGCTTGATCTTTACATCTGAGTGTAAAGTTCCTCCTGTGTCCAGAGTACGATGCAGGTGGATGTAATCTACTAAGAGCTGGGAGTTACAGCAAGTGGAATCTTAGGGATTGAAAAAAATCACCTTTTTTTCTCTCCAAGGGGATGGTGGACCCCGGGGAGAAGATCAGCGCTACCCTGAGGCGGGAATTTGAGGAGGAGGCCTTGAACTCTTTGCAGAAATCACCTGAGGAGAAAGCAAAATTGCAGAAGCAGCTCCAGAAGCTGTTCAGCCAGGAACACTTTGTGGTGAGCTCTGGGTGTCCTGTGGTAGCCTCTTGAGCTGTGCATATTACTCACAGCTGTATGGAACTTGAGAAAGTGTAGCCGAAATGAAAACGAGTTGTGTTGCTCAGGTTCTTGTGGTGTAGGAAATGGAAGGGACTGTTGAAAACGCTGTAAGGGCAAATGTGTCAGAGGAAAGGCAAAAAAAATCTTAGTGATTCCACCTTGTTTGTTGTGACACTGAGCGTATTTTGGTTTGCTTGGGGCTGTAGGTGTACCGAGGATATGTGGATGACCCTCGTAACACTGATAATGCCTGGATGGAGACAGAGGCTGTGAACTATCATGATGAAACAGGTGGGTATCTCCATGTGTGCTTTTAGTTGCCCTTTACTCCATAGGCTGGTTTGAAATTGGGACCTATGTTGAACTGAGAATGGCAATGAAATTGAGGGAACATGGAAGTCAGGTGTAAAATATGGGACTAGATTCTTAGAATCATTTCTTTTCTTGGACTCAAATTTTGCACCTGCAAGATACATCAGTCTAGTCAGGTGTTTCCGACTTGTTAAGTCAGAGACTTCATATAGTGACATTTCTATTGAATTTTGGGTAGTAGATACCAGCTGTGAAGTTTCACGTGTTCACAGTCACTTGATTTATCAGCCCTCAGAAATAGGGGAGATACTCTATCTTTGGTCTTTGTTTCTAATTCAGAATTTAAAAGCATTTCCTTGGTTGTTGTCCATGAAATCCTGGGACTCTTGTTGTAGAACCAGAGTAAAAACTTAAAGAGGGAGCATTTCAGAAGTCTTTCTGCATCCCTTCTTAAGCAGTATTTTTGATTTTGGGGCATTTACTAAAGTTTTAATTATTCTGGTTTTTTGTAAGTGCATATATGTTTCAGAGTTCAGTTTTTCCTGTAGAATAATAGCTGAAAAAAGTAGCAGTCAAATGTTAGGCAAACAAACAAAACTCAAGGCAGAAGGATTGGCTAAACTTATGGTAGTGAGTGTGTGTTGTCCTGATGATTTCCAGTAACCTTTCATGCTGCTGATGGTACCCTAGGGGTGGTGACAAGGAGTTACCACCACCTCTGCCACTCAGATTTGCCTTTAAATAGTGCAGGTATGAGAAAAGTCAGTCACTGATTCTGTGCCAGAACTTACTTTTTGTTTCTCTGAGAAGCAGTTGAAAGTTGCTGCCTGTGAAGGAGCATTGTGGAAGGGGGAAGTGATTAGATGTGAGAAAAAAAGCAAGAAGAAAAGATGCAATAGCATGTCCTAACTCTTTTTTTTTTTTTTTTTTTTTTTTTTTTTTTTTTTTTTTTTTTTTTTTTTTTTTTTTTTTTTTTTTTTTTTTTTTTTTTTTTGTGAACAGGTGAGACAATGGATAATTTGCCTCTGGAAGCAGGTGATGATGCTGGAGCAGTGAAGTGGGTTGACATCAGTGAGAAGCTTGAGCTGTATGCAAGTCATAGCTACTTCATTAAGCTTGTGACTGAGAAATGGGGAGCCCACTGGAGTGAGGATCCTGAACCTGAGTGCCATGAGTGATGTCAACGAGGAACTGACAGACATCAAGAGGAGAATATGTTTTCCAGCCTTGAAACAGATGACATTGTCATTTTCAGAGGAAATTCAGTGAAAATTTCTGTGAATTTCAGCTGGAAAAAACAATGGACAGTGATAAATTCAAGTTTTTTCAGAGACTTGAGATTGCTTCTTTTGATGTCTTAGTTAGTGTGAAATGAGATGAAGGAGGAGCTCTGACCTTGATTTGCTTTCTTGTCTTCATTATTTGCAGCTGTTTCATCATATCTGCTGATCTGCACTGCCTCACTGGGATTCTGACTGGTGGTGGTTCAGAGGCTGTTCACTTTAGCTCTGTGTTTTTTGCACTGATTCCTTGTCAGAAAGGAATCCTTAAGGGATGTGAGACTTGTAGGATAACCTGGATAATGACTTAATTTAAGTGCTACATAATAAAGTGAAGTTTCTTTTTTGAGTCACTTCTCTTGAGTTGCAGTGATTTTCTACTTTGAGATACTGGTTTTCACATTTAATTACTCTTTATGGTGTAGATGGTATTCACATCTGAATGTGTGACAGTGCCTCTGTGTGAAAAGATAACTGTTGAAGGGTGAAACTTGATGACTGGAGAGCTGGATTTTGAAGTCCCTCTTCCCACTGTTCATGGCAGTACAGCTGTGGGAAAGACTGTAGTATAAACAATCATTGGAAAGAGCAGCCTTAAAGTATAAGCACAATCTTAAGCTCTGCCAGGGGAGGTTTAGGTTGGTATTAGGAAGAAAGTTTTTATGGAGAGAGTAATCAGACATAGGAATGAGGCTGGTGTTGGACTAACATTAGTAGCCCTTGGTGGTTCAAGGGTGAATTAGCAAGGGGTGAGGGGACTTCCACTATTTAAGCTACCAAAATAGCATTTCTGAATCCCATATTCTTTTCACTGGAAAGGTGACATGGCTCACGTGAAATGTGTTTTTGGTCTTCCTTTGTAGGAATAGCATTTGGGGCTTCTTCCTGAAAGCAGAGCTTGCTTGGAGTGTCTTCAGTGAAGTGCTTAAAAATAAAATCACTGAGTTAATGGGATTCGGGAATAATCTCATCCTGTCCTGATTTTTTTATGCTCAAATTGTGCCTCTCTTGAGGCCAGCAAAAGATGGGAGATGGTGAAAGACATAGTTAGCATTTTTTCTTGGAAAAAAAATGGTAGCACTAGTTAGTGTTTCTGTGGGATGAAGGAAGAATGTGTGTGCTAAGGAGAATAAGGAGGTGTTGGAGCTATGATATCCTCTGCTCCTTGTGATGGTGGACGTGTTGCTAAGCAGTCTTGATATGCATCCACACTCACCATGCTCATACAGAGTTTGTCAGCAGGAGTTCTGCTGTGTGGCACTGGTACTATTCCTGTTGAGCTTTAAGAGGTAGGGGAAGAAGTATCTGAAAAGTGCTGATCTTTTTTCTTGTATTTTAGGAATTATGGTTTCAGGATTGGTGTATATGATCTACGCTCTATTTTCTTCTCCTCCTTTAAATCTGAAATGAAGTTTTCACTGAACCTTTCCACTGCCTTGGTACTTTAACAAAGTTCTGACAAAAAACATACATCTAGGTAGACATTTTATTTGAGACTTCTATGCAAAATGTTAAGCTGACAATACAGTAAATAAAGGAAACAAGTCCCATTTCAGTGTATGGTAAAATCCAAATTCTATAATTCTACTGAAGAGTTTTGTGAACAGGTCAGCCTTTAGGTTAGTACTACTTATTGGTTCAGAGAGGTCATAGATACATGTGAGGGGAAACACTGATTGTTTAGCTATGAACCAACTGGAGTAGTTAAATTTTTCTGCTGTTAATGAGTGTAGAAATCTTTTGCATTTGTGCTAATTGATAAGAATGCAGTGAATCTTACACCACCTTTGTTTTGAAAGCTATTAATTACAGAAATAGAGAGGGTTCACATGTTTCACCAGGTTTAGTGCAGCACTGGGAATCTGTTCAGCCAGGCTCAGAAAAGAAGATTTTCATTTATGTCTTCTGCAACAAAGAAGAAGAAGAAAGCATTATTAGCATTTTATGCCAAAAAGGCATTTTTATGCTGTATCACTATCAATAAAGAGGTACACTAAGGTTTCAGAGGACTCATGTAGGGGAACGCTATCCCTAACAAAAAACAAGTATGGTTGCTGCTGTCACACTCAGGAGCCATTCATTTAGACCCCTCTCGATGGTGCTTTCTTGTTTCTAGTGTTAGGTCTCCTTGATCTGTTTGTGAGGCAAGAATCCCTTCCCTTCTCGTGAAGAGGATTCTTGGAAGAATCCTCTTCACAAATTACTGACCCTATGAATGAGCAAACACTGGCAGCAGTACGTGTGTATTAAGTTCTTGCAGCTTTTTTCCACCTATATATTGTGACTGGTAAACTGTCATCAGAAGAGCTGGAAAAAAACTCTGGGAAGAGTGAAGCCTTTATATGTCTGACCTCTGACCAGAACCAGACCTCTACTTAAAATTAGGGACTTGCTAGTAGGATTTTGAACACATTTATTCTGTCTGAATATTTAGCCAAACGCCTTCTGTCACATAACTCTTCTGGGATTAACCTGTGCTACCTTATTAACCCTTGCATAGTGACTGGCAGTATTGACCAGCTATCACTTAGGGCTAGATCAGAAGAAGGTAGAGATTGTGAAAGCATGCCTTATGTTGAAGGCAGTAATCTCATAAATCTCAAATTACTACCATGACAACTTCTGTTCAGCTGCTGCCTAATTCTAGAGATATTGCCAGCACAGTAGTACCAAACTTTTTACAATCCTAGAGAAGTTTCAGCGTGGATTGAGCTGAACCAAACATGTAACTATCCCATTTAGGATTTGGAAATTGTCCCTGCCTCTGCCTAAGCTTCCTGTTGCACGCAGTCTGGTGGGCAAGTGTTGCAAGCGACAGATTAGGTGAAATAGACTACACTGTGATGAGAGCATCTGTGTTGTGTATAGTAATCTAGAGGCTGATCAATCTCTGCTTGGTCAGTGAAAGATCTTGGTTGGTTTTCCTTCTTGGCTTGAGATCTTTGAATGCATTTTCAATCAATATGCTTTGACCACTGATTTAAAAGTGCAAGCTCACTTAACCTTTCCTTTGGCACTGAGGGATAAAATAGAGTGTTTCTGGAGAGGCAGACCTTTTTCCTATCTTTATGAAAAAAAAAAATTAGAGCCTTGCCCCTTTTGCAGTCTTGTCATTCCTTTTCCATTTGCCTCTCAGCATAGTAGCCATGAGCTTCTGGTTACAATTTCTTTGCCTCACGTTGTGGTCTGAGAACATGCCTAGTCCTGATAGGCAGGCACATCTGCCTGTTTGTTTATGTTTACCTTCTTTAATCCCAAAGCAGTGGCACCATTCTTTCAAAGCAATGAGCTTGTCTTGATCTCCATCGCACTCCTGGAAGAAACGGGTTATGCAGTGTTCCATGGGAACAAGGGAGGCTCTCAAAGGCGCAAGCTCCGAGTGTGTTAATAATCTGAAAGAAAGAGCAGGTGTGTAGAACTGTATTTCATTAATAAATCATCAGGATTATCAAAGCTGCTCTGAGCTGCTAGAAGATGTCACCAGTGGCTTTATCAGAGACGCCCCAGTGGATTCTGTTGTGGTGCTTCTGTAGTGAATCTGTCCCAGGTCATTATGATGATATATAATACCCACTAACGTAAAATGTTTTAGCTGCTATTTGTTTGTTAAGTTTTGTTTTATCGAACAATTATTACTTGTGTAGTAATTACTAGTATTACAAGTAGCGACTTGCTCAAAACTCATCAGTTACAGAGTTTTGCTCTTAATCCTTAGAAGATCAAACTTGCAAAGGTGCTTAGCTATGTTCTAAGACAGTGGGTGTGATTGTTGTGAAGTATTGAGGGCCTAGAGCTTTGAAATATGGATCCCATCCCGAGTGATGTGACCAAAAGCCTGAAATCTGGGTCGTGTTCTCAGAAGCTGTGAGCTTCCTCTGAACTGTGACACTGGTGCTGTCTTACATATCTGCTCCTTAAACCGTGGTATTAGTTGAGAACTGTGGGTACCTCACTAGTGAATTAGTACTGACAGGACTCTGTCCTTTGTACTTAGCCTGTTGCTCTTGGCTTCAGGATTTCTTCCTGAATAGTAGCTATTAAGACACTGTAGAACTTATAGTGTAATACAGGATTATGCAAGGCAAGAGGATTAGCAAGTTCTGAGCAAAGACGTAACTGTAGGAAAACAATGAGGGAAGAAGTTCTGTGTTAGAAACAGGAGGCTGCTCTCTTCTAACATCTGAGGGACTGGTTCTATATGTACAAAATCCTTTGAGTGGTTTAGAGAATTAAAACAGGCCAAGTTTAAACAGCAAATCAGAACTGAGCCCACAAAGACTTGGATGGGTTTTTTTTACCTGTCGACAGGGTGCTGATCAAGCTGGTGAAACTGCCAGTGCACAGGATACACATACATGTGATAATTTTTCTCAAAGTCATGCAGGAGCAGCTCAACCGTGTGGTCACCAGCCACAAGGCGCTTGTCATTCTGGTAGATTTTTTTGACCTGAACACAATGCAGAAATTGTCATTTTTTGTTTAGGGATGAAGGTCTGCCCTGAAGAGAACTATCCAGCAAAGAGGTTTTCAGAGAAATGAAACTTGATAAAATACCACAGGGGAAATGGGTTTTAGTGTTTGTGACTATACACAGCATGAAAAGCTTGCTTCAGGTAGACCAGGTGATTTTTGTTGCTGTACTTGTCACCTTTGGTAGTAACCAGAAAGGAAGTGAAATTCCTGTGGCTGAACTGTCAGGCTCAGCTAATGGGGGCAATAGCTTCAGGCTGGTAGGAGATTAAGCCAGTTTTATCACATATTCTGTCCTGTGACAAGCAACTCAGGTTTAGGTGTGAAATAATCTGTGAAATCACCTAATTCATACCACTTAGTATGAGATATTCTGGGCATGTCCCTCTTGGTAAGTGTGTAAGTAGTCTTTGATTTTGCTCAAGCATATTTTGTATAAACATGCCGTGACCTACTGCCTGTACTTCCTACTTCAGAGTTAGAGCAGCCCAGGTCTTGGTTTAACTTAAACAATGGCTTTTTAGGTAGTTATGGCATCTGTATCTTCAAAAATAAACTACTGTCACTGTTTCCCTTGACATAAATCCTTCCCTGAAAAAAAATAGGCCCAATGGCAATAGGCATTGTAAGGCAATGTAGTGTGATGTCGCAGGTCTACTGCATAAGTAAACCATCCATCTTATGGCTGCTTGGTTTCCTCAAGTCCTTCGGAAAATGGCATTGACAGCGTGAATTAGGTTAACCTTATCCACGTATTAGTTGATCTTCCCAAGAGGTTTGTCACAAAGCTTCCCTGAACAGAAGCTGTTTCGTGTCTTCTCAAGCAAATGATATTTATCTAAGTGTACCCTAATTCTGACTTGTCTGACTCTTGTCTGGAGAC